AAATAATTCAATAATTTTTTTTTAAACTCTGTATTTACAAATTATGTGAGAAAATATACAAAAAGAACGTATCAAGATTATTTTGAGATCACAGAAGCTTTACCGCAGACATCTGCAGGTTAAAATCCTAATGCTCTCACTACACAGAGTGATCAGAGCAGGAATGTTATCAAAATACAAATAAAATTGAATGAGGGATATGTGAGAGAGAATAGGGGAGAGAAATACAGGGACTGAGAGAGGGAGAGAGAGAGAGAGAGAGAGAGTTACTATCACGACAAGCGTGACTAAATGATTACAGAACCAGCATCTTCAGAATACAAAGACTCACTCATGACCTCGGAGAATTCCTTAGCTTGTCTAGGAGTGTCTTGGATCACTCCTAGGAGTCTTCTCCCCATCAGTAAACACGTAAATTCATATACAAAAAGAAACTCTTGTATAAAAATCCTAGGATTCACAATCTTAACATTCCATCAAATAAATAGAGGTTCTCACATCTTCAGACGGGAAAAAGTGTGTAAAACAGCTGTATAACATAAGAATATAACTGGAGCTAATTTGCATATCAAATTATTAACATAACTAACATCTTAAAGACTATATGAAATACTCCATAGATGCTAAGTCTGTGAAAAAGTGGGCATTTCGCCTGGAGTGTGGATTCACCTTAAGATTTTAAGCTCGATCTTGTATTTACATTGAAATCTCACGTGAAAGACGATAGTAAAATGTGTTTTTGCATGGCCACGTATCTGCCACGTGTTTTGGTTTCTGTGTGTGGCGAAGTCCTGCTGTAATTATTGCTCCTGTACCCATTCCTGGGGGGACAGGCGGAGGATACAGCACTGTCAATCACTAGTCATGGTTGAGAATACAACAGGTTCATTCCCTGTAAGTAATGCCATATTATCTTGGCTGTGGAATGTTAAATATTAACATGTAAATACACTTACAAAGATGCTCTGAGACGTATATCTTACAGTCAGCCAGTGGTGCTAAGGAAAGTGTTCCAGCGTCAGCCAGTGGTGCTAGGGAAAGTGTTCCAGCGTCAGCCAGTGGTGCTAGGGAAAGTGTTCCAGCGACAGCCAGTGGTGCTAAGGAAAGTGTTCCAGCGTCAGCCAGTGGTGCTAAGGAAAGTGTTCCAGCGCCAGCCAGTGGTGCTAAGGAAAGTGTTCCATCGTCAACCAGTGGTGCTAAGGAAAGTGTTCCAGCGTCAGCCAGAGGTGCTAAGGAAAGTGTTCCAGCGTCAGCCAGTGGTGCTAAGGAAAGTGTTCCAGCGCCAGCCAGTGGTGCTAAGGAAAGTGTTCCAGCGTCAGCCAGTGGTGCTAAGGAAACTGTTCCAAGAAACATCGTGGGATTCGAAGCCAGGGTCGCTGGGCTATGGCCTCCCACATTCTGTATCAGAAAGTGTCAAGGACAACTCTTGTCTTAGTATTTATGTACTTGACGTATTTTTTCGTCGGTAATCATAAAATCAGTATTATGGCAGTTGAAGTGTGTTGACCTATAGTGACTGACTTGATTCATCACTGTCTGTCTTCTGAAGCTCTACCGTCCACGTGGAACCATGACGGGGTTGAATCATCGCTGAAGACAGGTGGTTCCTGGAGAACGCCTGTCACACACACTCACTTACACTAAAAGCTTTCGAATCTCTCGTAAGGAAAAAAACTAATAATTTCACTCCCTTAACGCCTTAATTCTTCAGATTTTTGACTTCCATGAATTATTGTATAATTTGTCTCCAGACCAAAAAAAAATATATATATTGTCGCTATGCAGTCAGGTTCTATCATGAGTGATCTAAGTTCCATCTATATCAGAACGTTAGCAATTTTGATTCAATTCTTAAAACGTCAATATTTTAGTCCATTACATTAAGGGACATTTCTGGTAATTAATACTTCAGAAGCTCATATCTTGAACCTGAATCAACTGTCAATATCTACCACTCGTACTAACAATTCTGACATTTCTTCAGGTGATCCAAACTAAATGTTTCACATATCTTCCTCAGGTCATCTTGAGATGATTTCTCAAGAAATCATCTCAAGATTAAGGCAAGATTAAGGATAAAGGCTTCGCAGTTACTGAAGCTCGGTGCAGGGTAGTGAATAGCCCCATCAGCCACGTGCCTCAAATACGAGCACGACCTGGGTGGAGGTCAGGTCACTGGGTGACCTGACCCAGTGATCTGTTAACTGGTCTGTATTCACCTAACAGTCTGTGGCATTACATTGGCAAGCTCTTGGACGCAGGTTCATTAGCCTTCGCCATATGTTTGCATCCCGCCCTTCTGCAGTTAATTCCATGAATCTTGCTCGAAAAAAAGCTGTAGGGGGGTTTGGGCAAAATTTGACCCCATCGCCGATTTCACTAATATGCATATTTTCGGTATAAAAATTCGTAAGTTCAAACTCCAAAGATGTGCAGTAAACCAGAATTCTGCTAAAAAATAAAGCTCATGAGTCAGATTTCCGATATTTCCGATATTTTGAAAATTGCAGGGGGGGGGGGCAAAATATGACCCATCCTTGTTTTCAGTAATTGGCATATTTTCGGTATAAAACGTCGTAATTTGAAACTGCAAATAGGTGCAGAGAGCCGGAATTCGGCTCAAAAATACCACCCAGGAGTCAAATTTCCGACAATTTAGATATTTTGAAAACTGCAGGGAGAGTTTGGGCAAAACCATCGCCGTTTTCACTAATTTTCGGTATATCAAGTCGTAATTTGCAACTCCAAATATGTTCAGTGAGCCAGAATTCGGCTCAAAAATAACGCTCATGAGTCACAAACGCTCACACAACACGACACATTTTTGTTCGTATATAGTCATTCAATACTGCTCAAACACGGTAGGACCAAAACAAACATGTACACTGTATATATATTGCTAATCCTCAAATAGCAGTAAAGCCGTTGTCATTTCAATATTTTTTCATCTAACACTAGACAACCGAGTGAGGAAATGTAGTTAGGTAACGTGCGTGTGTGTGTGTGTGTGTGTGTGTGTGTGTGTGTGTGTGTGTGTGTGTGTGTGTGTGTGTGTGTGTGTGTGTGTGTGTGTGTGTGTGTGTGTACTCACCTAGTTGTGCTTGCGGGGGTTGAGCTCTGGCTCTTTGGTCCCGCCTGTCAACCGTCAATCAACAGGTGTACAGATTCCTGAGCCTACTGGGCTCTATATCATACATACCAGGGTGTGTGTATATCACACACACACCCAGTGTGTGTGTGTGTGTGTGTGTGTGTGTGTGTGTGTGTGTGTGTGTGTGTGTGTGTGTGTGTGTGTGTGTGTGTGTGTGTGTGTGTGTGTGTGTGCGCGTAAGGTCCCTGACCCAAATAGTTCCATGTGTGTCAAAACATTGATCTCAACCAATGTTTATGTTCTGCTGACTAAAAATTGGGTTAAAAAAAGGGGTGATGTAAATTAAACGATTTACTATGAATATAAAAATAAAATTTGAGAAGCTTTCCATTAAACGATAATTTTCTGGTGGATTTCTTCATGGACATTCACAAGGCATGTTCAAAAGAACTCCCTTAGCAGTGACACCACGTCCTTAGCAGTGACACCACGTCCTTAGCAGTGACACCACGTCCTTAGCAGTGACACCACGTCCTTAGCAGTGACACCACGTCCTTAGCAGTGACACCACGTCCCTGACAGTGACACCACGTCCGTGGCAGTGACACCACGTCCGTGGCAGTGACACCACGTCCTTAGCAGTGACACCACGTCCTTAGCAGTGACACCACGTCCCTGACAGTGACACCACGTCCCTGACAGTGACACCACGTCCCTGACAGTGACACCACGTCCCTGGCAGTGACACCACGAACCTGACAGTAACACCACGTCCCTGACAGTGACACCATGTCCCTGGCAGTGACACCACGTCCCTGGCAGTGACACCACGTCCCTGGCAGTGACACTACGTCCCTGGCAGTGACACCACGTCCCTGACAGTGACACCACGTCCCTGACAGTGACACCACGTCCCTGGCAGTGACACCACGTCCCTGACAGTGACACCACGTCCCTGGCAGTGACACCACGTCCCTGGCAGTGACACCACGTCCCTGACAGCGACACCACGTCCCTGGCAGCGACACAACGTCCCTGGCAGTGACACCACGTCCCTGACAGTGACACCACGTCCCTGACAGTGACACCACGTCCCTGGCAGTGACACCACGTCCCTGACAGTGACACCACGTCCCTGACAGTGACACCACGTCCCTGGCAGTGACACCACGTCCCTGGCAGTGACACCACGTCCCTGGCAGTGAGACCACGTCCCTGGCAGTGACACCACGTCCCTGGCAGTAACACCGCGTCCCTGGCAGTGAGACCACGTCCCTGACAGTGACACCACGTCCCTGACAGTGACACTACCTCCCTGACAGTGACACCACGTCCCTGGCAGTAACACCACGTCCCTGACAGTGACACCACGTCTCTGACAGTGACACCACGTCCCTGACAGTGACACCACGTCCCTGGCAGTGACACCACGTCCCTGACAGTGACACCAGGTCCTTAGCAGTGACACCACGTCCCTGACAGTGACACCAGGTCCTTAGCAGTGACACCACGTCCCTGACAGTGACACCACGTCCTTGACAGTGACACCAGGTCCTTAGCAGTGACACCACGTCCCTGACAGTGACACCACGTCCTTGACAGTGACACCAGGTCCTTAGCAGTGACACCACGTCCCTGACAGTGACACCACGTCCTTGACAGTGACACCACATCCTCGCCAGTAACACCACGTCCCTGACAGTGACACCACGTCCTTGACAGTGACACCACGTCCCTGACAGTGACACCACGTCCTTGACAGTGACACCACGTCCCTGACAGTGACACCACGTCCCTAACAGTGACCCCTCAGTGATGCTCTCCCTACGGCATCACACATCTTGAAGGTGTTGCAGGTATTCAATAAGCTGCACATGTTTTTTTGGTGATATTTAAAAGAACTTATCAATATTGTCCATATTTTTTTTATTAGCAAAATAATTCTTCTTTTTAACAATGTTAAATAAGGTTCTTGTTCGGCCAAATGACACCTGGTCTTACCGATATCGTGATTGCAAGGATATCTACACCACTTGCAATCGATCTGTTATGCAATACCATTTATAACTACTCTGGATAACATGCATCAATTTGTTCTACTGGTATGATAACGGGATTGGTGGTGGTGTCACAGAATGATAACGGGGGTTGATGATGTCACAGTATGATAACGGGATTGATAATAGGGTCATAGTATGATAACGGGGTTGATAATAGGGTCATAGTATGATAACGGGGTTGATAATAGGGTCATAGTATGATAACGGGGTTGATAATAGGGTCATAGTATGATAACGGGGTTGATAATAGGGTCATAGTATGATAACGGTTGATGACAAGGGGTCACAGTATGATAACGGTTGATGACAGGGGTCAGAGTATGATAACGGTTGATGACAGGGGTCAGAGTATGATGACGGTTGATGACAGGGTCAGAGCATGATAACGATTGATGCCAGGGGGTCAGAGTATGATAACGGTTGATGCCAGGGGGTCAGAGTATGGTAACAGTTGATGATAAGAGTCAGAGTATGATAACAGTTGATGACAGGTGGTCAGAGTATGATAACGGTTGATGACAGGTGGTCAGAGTATGATAACGGCTGATGCCAGGGGGTCACAGTATGATAACGGTTGATGACAGGGGTCAGAGTATGATAACGGTTGATGACAGGGGGTCAGAGTATGATAACGGTTGATGACAGGGGTCAGAGTATGATAACGGTTGATGACAGAGGTCACAGTATGATAACGATCAAGTCTAGGGGTGAGCACGTACCTACCTAGTTGTACTCACCTTGACGTGCAAAGGCTTACTATTGAACATGTTGAACAGCTTGCCAAAATTAACCAGACTCATGTTAATTGTTCAAAGCGTACGTTCATGTTGACTAAAGTCAAGCACAAACCACCGTTCGTGTTCACTTGAGTACTCAGGTTCTTTTAGGAAAAGAGAAAACTTTATGCTTTTGAACTTTAAGTGTATAAAAAATGAATAACTTAGTAATTATATGAATGAAGAGACATAAATGAGATGTTATCCGTTTCGTAAGCACGAAGATATCAAATCTTCTGCAGTATCACTCACTTTCATACATACATACACATACATATATAAATATATACATAAATGCATATACATAAATAAACATGGCTATGTTGACGCCATTGTAAATAAAAAAAGTCATTTTAATATTTTACAATGTAACTACGGATCCAGTTGAATATTTTACAAGTATTCACAAGGACATTTTATCGTCTACTTACTCTCTCTCTCTCTCTCTCTCTCTCTCTCTCTCTCTCTCTCTGTCTCTCTCTCTCTCTCTCTCTGTCTCTCTCTGTCTCTCTGTCTGTCTGTCTGTCTGTCTGTCTGTCTGTCTCTCTCTCTCTCTCTCTCTCTCTCTCTCTCTCTCTCTCTGGAATGTACTATTAAAATGCAAAGTTTAAACATTCAAGTTCGCCAGCATTTCCAAAACTCAAAGAATATATGTTTAACTTGTTGATTAGGGAGGTGTGGAATTCTCTCCAACTTGAACAGAATCTGAATCGTTGAGAATAAGGGACGTTATCATGCTATGATCGACAATAACGGGGCGATAATATCCCGCCAAACACACACCGAAACTACGACGTTGGTACAACGTTCGAGCAAGTTTTAACACCTCCTAACCAGTTATAACAACCAATATAGCAAGTTGTAACAACGTTCTAATACGTCATAAACACGTTAAGCCAAAATGTAACAACTTTATTACAAGTTGTAACAAGCGGAAAATAGAGACAGTTTCGGTTTGTGTTTCCAGGGTATACTGTTTACACGCGTGGATTTCATTCACCATTTAATGCTCTGTTAATGAGTTGTTAGACTGAAATTACCTTTGTAGTGAGCACACGCGAAGAGCTGAACATCAGTGTGTGTTGTGTGGATGGCCTTTACTTGGAGCCCCCTGAATTGTACATGTGGATTGTGTACACCTCCACAGAGCCCTGGAGTTGCACATGTGAACGGGTCATGTGTACATCTTTATGGAGCCCCCTGAATTGTACATGTGGATTGTGTACACCTCCACAGAGCCCTGGAGTTGCACATGTGAACGGGTCATGTGTACATCTTTATGGAGCCCCTGAATTGCACATGTGATTCCCTATAACTTACAGTTCTAGGGAATCACATGGGTTTTTAGAACGATTATTAACGAATTTCTTAAATATTTGACAGTTGCAATGAAATGCTGTTATTCTTGGAAAGCTGAAATATAGAATTTGATGCATAATGAAGTAACAATGGAATTGAAAGACTGCAATTTCTTCCAAGATGTGTTATGTGACGAACTTATGACTTGTGCGAGTTCCAACGATAATAGTGATTTATCTTTAAAGATCTTTCTTGGGTAACCAAGAGAGAAAACATCTTGATACTGAGCTGAGCTGGAGCCCATGAGTATAGGTATTGGTTACATATTAGGAAAGTCCCAACCAATATGTACAGAGAGCTTGAGTAGTAACTATATACAGTATATCTGTGTTATATTATGAGGCAGTATTCTTGCCTTCCCTCAGAAGGTTTGAAGAAAATGGTCGTATGCAAAGTGATCTCCTCACGCCACACATTTGCAACACTTGATAAACAAATCCGTTTCTTTTCACCGGAAATTTTGTGTTTTAAAGTAAGGCCATATGTTGGCAACACTGACGAGGCACAGACATGTGCGCTATATACATATTATTGTGTGTGTATGTGTGTGTGTGTGTGTGTGTGTGTGTGTGTGTGTGTGTGTGTGTGTGTGTGTGTGTGTGTGTGTGTGTGTGTGTGTGTGTGTGTGTGTGTACAGAATACACAGACACAGAATACTTAAGTGAATGAGTATACACCATATCGTTATACCTTACGTTTGAGTTGGAGGCAAACGAGCCAGTTCCCCGATGAGAACAGGCAGAGTGCCAGTGTCCCTCGACTAGCATGGCACCAGTGCCAACACTAGGGTGCCCAGGAAGGCCTCGCTTGAGCAGAACTGTAAGCAGAAAGACCCCCCTAGAGTGGTCATCCTGCACTCTGCCGTCTTGACACCATTCAAGTATCTAGTGAGAGGTCTTTCACTCACAAATCAGAGCCACGCTGATCAAAACTCTCGCCTTGAGTATAGCTTTGATATCATGCCTTGGTATCAGTCCTATCAGGCCTCGATATCAGTCTTATCGTGCGTTTAGACGACCTTATGGCACCTTGATAGCAGATGATATCAACATTATAGCCATAAGGATAAGGTCGTAGGAGCCAATTGCATCTGAATGACCTTAATTGCTGCCACCTGCTGCTGCCCGGCGAACCTCTGGGCTAATCACTTGTCCTTTAGCTGACCTCGTGATTGGCCTCCTTAGCCCTCAACCACCTCTGAGATGAGGCAGCTGGTGGTAGTCCAGATGACCTCGCTTATCTTGTTCCTGAGGGCGGCCAGGTCACCACGGGTCTGGAAGTTGGGGTCGCACGTCCCCTCTCGCTGCTCCTCCATGCACTTCAGAAAGTCCTGTGAGAGGGGTTGGAAGCATTCTGTTTAGCTTAGTCACTGGACTCTCTCTCTCTCTCTCTCTCTCTCTCTCTCTCTCTCTCTCTCTCTCCCATGCACCATTTGTCATTTATAAATATACTTTGATACAATTAAATATAAGTTAAAGTTAGGATAACAAAGAATGTTGTTAACAGGAATAACATATTATCAACCAATAATGTTGGTATCTGTGTGTGTGTGTGTGTGTGTGTGTGTGTGTGTGTGTGTGTGTGTGTGTGTGTGTGTGTGTGTGTGTGTGTGTGTGTGTGTGTGAAAGTATGAATTTGGTGAAATAGATATATTTAGGTGAGGGGGAAATTGTTAAAAGGCATTTAAAATGACTGTGTATAGAGGAATGAAGGCGTGTATGGAGGTGTAAGGGCGCGGTACTCACCTCTCGGAAGCGACACTTGACGACAGGTTTGAGGCTCTTCGGGTTACGTGAAGGAAGACCCACTTTCCGGCAACACAGCTCCAGGTGGTGGTACTGGCAGGCGTCGCTGCCACTCACTGGGGGGGAGGGGGAAGGGGGGTTATGGCACTCAGGAAGCAGGTGACACACTCAGGTAACAGATGACACACTCAGGTAACAGGTGACACTCTGGTACAGGTGACATATGATACAAAATTATGACAGGAGCAGGACAGCTGCTACGGGCTGCTTCCTGGGGATGTGTGGTAATGAGAGAAATATATGTAGTAGACATAAGAGGAAAAATAAGTTGGTTAAACAGGCCGGGTCCAAGAGCTAATAGCTAGATTCTGCAGATACAAATATTAAATAATCTATACACACAGGCATAGACAAACTTTCCGATCATCTGTAACCTTTACTTGTGTCTTAAAAAGTAGGAAACTCGCCCTGGACGCAAGAGCGAGGCTCAACGTTAAAGGAGTTAGGCCTTTCCTACTGGCTCAGTTCCTTCCTTTCTTCTATGTCTTTTTCCTCCAATTCTCTCTCTCTCCCTCTCTATCTCATTCTCTTCCTCCCAAGCATCCCAGCCTCCATTGTGGGGTAGCCCTGGAGACGCTAAGTCTCTGAGTGATTGTGAGTTACGAAGTTTTTATTTCAAAATCTGATTTTATCTCTGCGTGAGTGATGCTTTAAGGTCTGAATATTTGGTGGGAATTAACAGAGAGTTGGTTGTATGTGTGAGTGTTTGTGTGGGTGTTTATGTGCATGTATTCTTGTATCTAGTCTTATATGCTAGGGATCAGTTGAGGCATTTGGGACCCTGGTCAAGGCTGTCGGCCGCCTGGTGCAATGACTTGCCGCCTCCTATGCTTTGGTATGTGTATTTAAACCCCGGGTATTAAGTGAGCTTACACAACCCTGCCCCTCCAGCTCACACCCATGACACCTGAGGCAGCTGGTTCATCCCAGTCCCTGCACCTCACACCACCATCATCATCATCATCAGCAGCTTCAGCAGCAGCAGCAGCAGCAGCAGCAACAGCAGCAGCAGCAGCGTAGGGTGACGGGTGTGAGGTCAGTATACAGGCAGCGTCACCTGCACAAGTGGTGACCAAGCACTTGGACGAGTCACGAGCCACGATCTCACTTCACGCAGGATCAGCGTTCGAACCCCTGATCGTCTAAATGCTTTAGCCAGTGTAACCGTTCATTCTATCCTCCCTTATCCCTGCTCCTTATCCTCGTATCCCTTCCAAGTGACACGCTAGTGTAGCTCTAATGATATTTACCTTACCAATGCAAGTAAGATAGCTGGGACTGAACAAGCACGACTCAACTTACTTTCAGTAATATTCTTGATGAAGCTGAACATGTCGTCTTCAGGGACGGTGTCGTTGGAGCCAGAGTCGTCGAGGAAGGCTCGCGAGGCCTCGGCCTGACACGCCTTCTTCTCCTTTCCCCTCAGGGTCTTGCATCTCTTGAATGCCGAGCGACACTGCTTCTTCTTGCGGCCCTTCAGGCGACGACAGCCCTTCGACCCCTTATTGTTTCCCCTCTTCTGTTTGTTCGGCTTTTTATTCTTCTTGGGTTTCTTGGGTTTCTTCCTGTCGCCGCCTCTCTTCTGTCCCTCGTTCCTGTTCCTTTTTAACCTATTTAAGGAGGTGAGGTTCCTTAAGAGAGATGGGTCAAGATGGATCCCCGCAGAGTCCAGGATTTCCTGGAAGCGTGGAAAATGTCCCATGTCACCCTCGTGGGCGTGACGTATATCGCCGTCGTGGGCGTGACGTACATCGCCCCCGTGGGCGTGACGTACATCGCCCCCGTGGGCGTGACGCTCGTCGTTCAGACCCAGTCTCTCCAGTCTCGTCTCCTGGAGACCTGACTCTGGGAGATAACTAGGAGACAGCCCCCTGCCGACATCGTGGTTGCCTCCTTCCAGGCCTTCGTCTGCGAGCCAGACACCTTCGTCGGCGCCGTGGTGGTGCCGGTGGGTGTGACGTCGTCGGCTCTGATGCCCCGCCGAGGACGACGCCCGCTGGTGTCGTGGAAGGGTCGTGCTGATAGTGTCGTCGTCGCCTGCCAGAGGGATGCTGCGCCGGTCCCTCTCCTCGTCTTTCCTGTAACATCACAACACTGTGAGCCACGTGTAATGTTAAGACGTGTTGTGTTATCAGGATAAACATGAAGGTGCTTCAGGGTCAGGTGTGTGAACACCTGAAGCACCTGAAGCTGCCGCCACTCACCTGAAGCAACTGCTTCGCTCTATGGCACCTTGTTTAATAACCTGCCACCAGCCACACAGCTCAGATGAGTAAGGCAGCTCACCCAACTCATGGAAGGACATGATGAGCATAGCATGTATAATTAACTAATTCTAGGACACCTCCTCCACTACCGAACACTTCACATATGGAGTCATCTTCCCCCCTCCAAGTTTGGAGTCCCCCTCCACGTATGAAGTCATCCTCCACTACCTCCTCCTCCACGTATGGAGTCAGCCTCCACTATCTCTCCAACTAAAACATTCTAACTGCTCACTCTAACAAAAATTTTACTTTTTTAGGTCTGGCTCATCTGAGCCTCCAGTTTCTATTTGAATTCCCCTTGTTTTGTTCCCTTTATTGTGTCCCCTCGTTCGGTACCTTCCCTGTTATCTCCTCGCTCTGATCTATTCCCTGTCTCCCCTCGTTCTCTTCCCCCTTTGTGTTTCCTCGTTTGATTCTCTCAAATGTGTCTCTTATTATTCTGTTCCTTCTCATGCGTGTTTCAATTATGTTGATGTTTTTGAATATTTTGTATGTTGAGATCATCTCTCCTCAGCTTGTGTCCTGTTCTACCGTTGTGAGGTTCAGGTCACTCGGGTTCACAAAGTGACTTTATTTATTCAATCTAGACTTAAGATCATATTGCCAAAATCTATAATTATTGTGTTTATTCGTGTATAAATTGATTTATATAATTAAAAGAAAATTCTGTATAATAGTTGGCATATTAAATTTTACCTTATTGATATAGTTGCAACTTTTCGGCTGCCGAGTTTTCGCGAATTCCACTGAAATCCGCTGTGTCTGGAGGCCTCTGATTGGCTGAAGGGCTGTGACGTCACCACCGACGAGAGCGCCACTGCCAGCAGTGTCAACTTGAGGTAGCTCGCCATCTCTGGGGGAAATAAAAAGAATATATATCATATATTATTATACATAAATCCTACGACAAAGAAAATACGATCAACCTCTATATGTCTCCTCCACACGTTCTCGCTCAGTACAAGGCTCATATCCTCCTAGTTTCTTGGTTTCTTCTCCCTCCATCTTTCCCTCCTCTCTACTCTCTCTCCCTCCCTATATCCCTCCTTCTCTCCATCCTCACGAATGGCTCTCTACTAGACAATACCAAGGGGTCAAGCGCCTCTTTCCCTCGCTCGCGCACCCACATTTGACGAAGTCTGCTCCCTCTTGCCGAGTCGATCTCGCTGGACGCTCTCGAACTTCCTCCTGAGTCGATCTCTCTCTGGACGCTCTCGAACTCCCTCCTGAGTCGATCTCTCTCTGGACGCTCTCGAACTCCCTCCTGAGTCGATCTCTCTGGACGCTCTCGAACTCCCTCCTGAGTCGATCTCTCTCTGGACGCTCTCGAACTCCCTCCTGAGTCGATCTCTCTGGACGCTCTCGAACTCCCTCCTGAGTCGATCTCTCTGGACGCTCTCGAACTCCCTCCTGAGTCGATCTCTCTGGACGCTCTCGAACTCCCTCCTGAGTCGATCTCTCTGGACGCTCTCGAACTCCCTCTCGAGCCGATCTCTCTGGATGCTCTCGAACTCCCTCTTGAGTCGATCTTTCTGGACGCTCTCGAACTCCCTCTTGAGTCGATCTCTCTGGACGCTCTCGAACTCCCTCTCGAGTCGATCTCTGGACGCTCTCGAACTCCCTCTTGAGTCGATCTCGCTGGATGCTCTCTGCCACTCCTCATTGGATAGTCTGTTTCCCCCTGACACGGTGTTCTCGACGTCCTGGAGTGTAGGTGGAGACAACCCTGGCCTTTGTGGGCTGGAAGGTTACACATATCCTGGCGGCAGACACAGAAGTGGGTGGAAGACGAGGTGGAGGACGGAGAATTGGGTGGAAGACGACAGACAGAACAAGTGAGGGTTGCAAAGAGGAGGGGAGGAGGTGGGGCGGTGGAGAAGGGGGGAGAGGGCTTCGGGGAGAAGGAAAATATGCGAGATATTATGTCACAATGACTGTTCGCCCGCGTTCCTGTTGGGTGGTCTGCCACGCTCCTGTTAGGTGGTCTGACTCGCTACTGTTGCCTGCTCTGCTACGTTTCTGTTGCTTGCTTTGCCACGCTCCTGTTAGCTGCCATGCTCCTGTTTATATCTCTGTCTCTACCTCCACCCTATATATACACACGCATCTCTATATAAACTTTATCACCATATTCTTATAAACAATACCTTTGTGTATGTGTATACATGAATTTAGAGCACGTACCGTATAACTTATATGTGTATATAAATTTATTTTGTGAACGTGAGCGTAAAAAGACAACTTCTTTGGCACAAAACCTTGCGTGAGTAACCATATCATGGGATGGGATATCTGCAAGATATCCTGCAAGATATCCTGCAAGATGAGGACTCCTTTTAACATTACGTATAACTAGTCAAAGCAGTGGACCTAAATATGATAAAAATGATTTCCTCCCTCGGCAGCTCTATTTTTTTTTTTTTTGCTGCTGGGTAAGTAGAGACATGAGGTGAAAGGAAACGCTACCGAATTGTTTCTGCCCCCGTCCAGGGATCGAACTTGGGTCTTACGGCTGTAGGTCAAAGACGTTCTTCCCTAGATCACAGCCCACTCTCTCTCTCTCTCTCTCTCGTCAAACGTTTACAATTCCCCGTTACTTAAGCGTTCGTTCAACTTTTCAAAAGCACTTGTACTTCTGTATAAGTGCCTTTGTTCCCTTCTGTACTTCTCATTAAAATTTGTGTGCCTCTCCTGTTCCTTCCCTGCTCTTCTCTCCTGTTCCTTCCCTGCTCTTCTCTCCCTCTTCATCTCCCCCCCCCCCCACGCCTCTCCCTCCTCACCCCCCCCACGCCTCTCCCTCCTCACCCTCCCCCCACGCCTCTCCCTCCTCACCCCCCCCCCACGCCTCTCCCTCCTCACCCCCCCCCCCCCTCACGCCTCTCCCTCCTCAACCCTCCCCCACGCCTCTCCCTCCTCACCCCCCCCACGCCTCTCCCTCCTCACCCCCCCCCCCTCACGCCTCTCCCTCCTCACTCCCCCCCACGCCTCTCCCTCCTCGCCCCCTGCCTCTCCCTACCTTCCAAGTGAACTTTGAGAAAACCAGAGTATAAGGCATAAAATAATAAAGTATTAATTACAATGAAAACAATAATAATTGCTACAACATCCAGAGATAAACGATACGAAAACCATCACACTGACCACGAGAGATGACCCCTGTAACTTGCAATAGTTACATGGGGTATATGAGAATAGCTTGAGCTACCTCATCCCTTTGTGTGTATTTTACCTCAATAAACTTTTTTCAATTTCAACCCCTGTAACAGCGATGACTTCGCCATTAAAAGAAAAAACGGCACATACCAGCTACCGACAAGGAACAACTGGCGAAGACATAAATCTTTAGAGACAATAATTAAGACAACCGGACAACCACAGTTTCTTAACAGCTGCCTCTGTCTCACACACTGTCAGACTATAGCGAGTACCACAGTATGGCTCACAAGGCAGGCCACACTAACAAAAGGGAGCACTAGTATAGTTCCTTATAAGTGATTTAGACATGCCTCATATCTAAAGCCTTCCAGTTCTAAAGAGGAAAGGTACATAGATCTCTCGTCTCTGCTGGCTCGGTCAGGGGGGTTCCAGACCTCTCTGTTGTGTCTGTTGGCATCAGGGGGAGTTCCGAACAGCCTCTCTCTTAGCTCTGATGGCATTAGGGGAGGTTCTGGAGAACCTGTCTCTCGTCTCTGGTTACATCAGGGGTTTCCGGTCAAACACTGAGACCTCGCACCGGACGCATGAAACTCGATATGATATATAACTCGATATATGTATATATATGTATATATATATACGACGAGCTTTCCTTAGTGACAGTCCCCAGTATGTTTAAGCGAATCGTTAGTCTCTAAATGGTACAGAATAGAACCCGTCTGGCAGAGACGGGGGTTGGTGGAGTGTGCTGGCATTTTTTGTTTGTTGCCGCCGAAGGCGGCTAGTTTATTGTGCACCCCATACTCATGCTGTGAGCGGTAGCGCAAAAGCATTACAGAGGGCACAAAAGGTCTTTATCAGACCTCATCTTAGATTATTACATAAACAATTTCATCTATCCTTCACACCTTATAGTTACAATGTCAGCTAGTTACAGAGAAAGTGCTATTTCAAGAGCTATATATTTACAGTAAGTCATCATACATTAATGGTAGGTGTTGTCGCTAATACATAATAGCTTGACCAATGGGGATAGTATGCTGACATAACGTACCGCCCTGTTTAAATAGGTTAACATCAACCATACACTTAGAATTGACTTATATTCTCCAGTAGACTAGGGGCTCGTCAACCAGTTCATTTACTGGAGTTAGCACGAGGGTATTAGAACTAGGGGATCTGATACTATGTAGTGTATGACTGAACATCTTAGCTGAGCTCCGATATGAGAGCCAACGTCAGCAGTTCATCCTAGTGGGTGACACCAGATGGTACGAACATTTGATGAGTTCTCAGACACGTTCGTTGTGATGAGTCAATATTCGTGCCACTCATCTCAGCTGATCATCACATGACCCCGCCGGCTACAGACAAAATACGTACACAATATATCTCCTCACTTGTCGTCTGTTGAGCACCGCCGACTTATACTTATTCTCAGACTTATATAGAACACAGCAACAGTGTCCTCGAGACTACCCTGGCCGGCATTCGAACCCAGGTCGTTCTCTGTTGCTGGGCGAGGTGATACCATTAACCACTACACCACAGAGACCTGATATCCTTCGAGAGACAGAGAGAGAAAAATAGGGTGGGGGGAGATATCAGGAATACTTCTCTCTCTCTCTCTCTCTCTCTCTCTCTCTCTCTCTCTCTCTCTCTCTCTCTCTCTCTTTTCTCACCTTTATCATCCATCTTTCCACCATCCCTCCATTGCTTCTCCTGGTCAAGTGGCACTCCAGGGATGACTCTCCCGCTCAAGTGTCAGTCGTGTGTGGCCTCTGAGGTGAGCAGTGCCATCCCGAGGCTTTCTCTGCTCCGTTACTGGCAGTTACTTTCACCCAGCAGTGCCATTACGGCTATTTCTGGCCCTCTCTGTCCTGCTGTGTGAGTGTGTGTGTGTGTGTGTGTGTGTGTGTGTGTGTGTGTGTGTGTGTGTGTGTGTGTGTGTGTGTGTGTGTGTGTGTGTGTGTGTGCGTGCGTGTGTGTGTGGGGGGGGGATGATGATGTACACCTGCACGTGCCAGTGACGCCGTGTACACATGTCTGAGAGGCTGTGGAAGAGTGTACATGTGGATTAAATTGGTTCTCAGAAATTAACTGCAGATGTTTACAAAGATGCTGTGTGTACAGATGTCACGCGCGCGCACGCACACACACACACACACACACACACACACACACACACACACACACACACACACACACACACAAGAGCCAATGTTAAACCCCCGCAACCACAAATAGGTGAGTACACATATTCCCAACGCCAGCAGAGACAAATGGCCAGAGTTTCTTTCACCCTGATGCCCCTGTTACCTAGCAGTAAATAGGTACCTGGGAGTTAGACAGCTGTTACGGAGCTGCTTCCTGAGTGTGTGTGTGTGTGTGTGTACTCACCTAATTGTGCTTGCGGGGGTTGAGCTCTGGCTCTTTGGTCCCGCCTCTCAACTGTCAATCAACTGGTGTACAGATTCCTGAGCCTACTGGGCTCTATCATATCTACATTTAAAACTGTGTATGGAGTCAGCCTCCACCACATCACTGCCTAATGTATTCCATCCGTTAACTACTCTGACACTGAAAAAGTAACTTCTAACGTCTCTGTGGCTCATGTGGGTACTCAGTTTCCACCTGTGTTCCCTTGTTCGCGTCCCACCAGTGTTGTATAGTTCATCCTTGTTTACCCGGTCGATTCCCCTGAGGATTTTGTAGGTTGTGAT